TAGATATTGACATGTCTATATATAAGCCCCTGAGCGAGTGCAGAAGTATCTTCGTTTAGTCAATGAAGACTTCCCTTACATTTGCTCAGTACATGCCCATCAAATAGGTTCAATTACTAAATACAAGACAATAGCGAAAGTACACCACTCACTACACATACACAACACATCACACATCACACAACACATCACACAACACATCACACATCACATAACACAACACAACACACATCACATCACACAGCACATAACAACACACACCTTTGTGTTGCCCACGTATTGGGCGGTGTTGAGCGACAGTTCCCTGTCCACTGCGACGTCTTCGTAGTACACGGCTGCGGCTATGGGGACTGTGTTGTCCGCCAACACCTGTGCGTCGTACAGTGGCTGCCAGTCTGTCTTTTGCGACAGCAGTTGTGCGCACTCTTTGTACGGCTGTAGTTGTGCTATGGTATCGAACATCTGTGGATGGGAGTAGTTGTGCAGTATATATATATATATATAGTTGTGAAAGTGTAGGGCCGATTCAACGCAACGAGGAATCGTATCAGTGCCACTGATAGCCGCCGCCGTAGTCCATCTAAATAACACAAGCGAGGAGTGATACGTTTCTGCATCTGTCACACAATTGAAAGGTGTACTGCATTGATCTGACCCCCAAGCTTCCCATAGCAGCGCATGATGACCAGTCATGAGCAATACGTTAACAACGCAAGAGTAATGCGTTTGCAATGAGCGTGTGGTGGGCTTACCCATGGAAAGACCATCTCTGTGGTGAAGTTGAGGCGTTCTGATTGGTCGGGTGTATAGTTGAAGTCGTCACTTTGTTTCTGCACTCGACTCGCCGCCCAATTTGTTGCGCCTGTGATAAGCAGACAAGATATATATAGAATGAGTAATAGCAGATAAGATATAAATAGAATGAGTAATAGCAGATGATATATAAATAGAATGAGTAATAGCCGATGAGATATAAATAGAATCAGTAGTCGCAGATGAGATATAAATAGAATGAGTAATCGCAGATGAGATATAAATAGAATCAGAAATAATATGAGATATAAATAGAATTAGTAATAGCAGATGAGATATAAATAGAATCAGTAATCCCAGATGAGATATGAATAGAATCACTAATAGCAGATGAGATATAAATAGAATGAGAAATAGCAGATGAAACAGTCGAATGAGTAATCCCAGATGAGATATGAATAGAATCACTAATAGCAGATGATATATAAATAGAATGAGTAATTGCAGATGATATATAAATGGAATCAGTAATCGCAGATGAGATATAAATAAAATCAGTAATTGCAGATGAGATATAAATAGAATCAGTAATAGCAGATGAGATATAAATAGAATCAGTAATCGCAGATGAGATATGAATAGAATCAGTAATAGCAGATGAGATATAAATAGAATGAGTAATTGCAGATGAGATATAAATAGAGTCAGTAATCGCAGATGAGATATAGATAGAATTAGTAATAGCAGATGATATATATATAGAATTAGTAATTGCAGATGAGTTAGGATGAGTAATTGGGTAATATATAGCATGATCAGCGGAGTGATTGTCTGATATGAGCAGATGGTTTATTTCCAGAACATGAACTTAGTTTATGGTCAGCCTACTCGCCCTGAACACTTGTACCCATCGAATAGCCTACTTTCTCTGACCCTATACACCCACACTATCAAACAGCTTACAACCCCTTTCCCCACACACCCGCCTAATACACCAACACCATCAAACAGCTGACAACCCCCTTTCACACACACCCGTCACACGCCTCTTCCCATCGCATCACTACCTGCCGTCTCATACTTTCTCTAACCCTATACACCCACACCACCAAACAGCTTACAACCCCCTTTCACACACACCCGCCTAATACACCCGTCACACGTCTCTCCCCATCGCATCACTACCTGCCGTCCCATACTTTCTCTAACCCTAAATACACCCACACCATCAAACAGCTTACAATCCCCTTTCGCACACACCCGCCTAATACACCCGTCACACGTCTCTCTCCATCGCATCACTACCTGCCGTCCCATCAGCTCACTTACCGTTGCCGTCGGCGTAGATGAGCTCATGCACAAGTGCATACATGGGATTGGCATCGAATGGCACGTGCGTGTACAGTGCTTTGATGAAGGCAGGTGTCAGTGTGCCGGTGGTGTCGAAAGCGTCCTCCAGAATGTAGTGCAGCGAAGGGAAGGCGTGGGCGTGGTGGGAGATGAACTTAAACCCAAACGTCTGGAACAGCCCCACAGTCAGCCGGTTGCCTGAGGGAGAGTACAGATACGCAGATGAGATGAGCGACAGTGAATGGTGCGTGTGCTTAGGTTGCCTGAGGAAGAGTACAGATACGCCCACGGGATGAGCGGCAGTGAATGGTGCGTGTGCTTAGGTTGCCTGAGGAAGAGTACAGATACACAGATGGGATGAGCGGCAATGAATGGTGCGTGTGCTTAGGTTGCCTGAGGGAGAGTGCAGATACGCCCACGGGATGAGAGGCAGTGAATGGTGCGTGTGCTTAGGTTGCCTGAGGGAGAGTACAGATACGCCCACGGGATGAGCGGCAGTGAATGGTGCGTGTGCTTAGGTTGCCTGAGGGAGAGTACAGATACGCAGATGGGATGAGCGGCAGCGAATGGTGCTTAGGTTGCCTGAGGGAGAGTACAGATACACCCACGGGATGAGCGGCAGTGAATGGTGCGTATGCATAAGTTGTTGAATAGGCGCCGACACGCTTGTCTGTGGGCGTGTCAGTGCTGCGATGGCTATGGTGATGAAGTCAGTGATAAGGGAGATCACCGTGATAGCGAGGGTAGGCGTGGGTAACTCCATGCACACACGCCATCATATAAACAGACGACATTCACAGTGACACGTACACACCATCAGATAAACAGACGACATTCACAGTAACACATACACACCATCAGATAACAGACGACATTCACAGTAATAAATACACACCATCAGGTAAGCAGACGACATTAGCAGCGAGATAGTCGGCGACTTTGCGCGCGATGGCGATGTCCTCAGGGTACATGCGGTAGTAGCGGTTGTTCTTAGTCAGACATGTTTTGAAGGTGGATGTGTACACCTGTGAGAGATAGACGATTAGACACACACGGGCACTCGTCAGCAAACAGCAACAGAGACGTCTGGACGGATGAGTGCACGGTGTGTCGGTGGAGATAAGTCCTGTGGCCATGCACCTGCGCAGCGATTCTCAGAGTGTTTTTAGGGGGTTTAGGGTTTTTAGGATGCGCTGGAATTTGTTGGGTCCCATGCTTTGAACTCCATACACAGCACGTGGGTGCGCGTCCATTTAACCCAATGTATCGGTCACCTGCGAATCTTAATTGATCATTCCGGTTAACAATCTATAATAGAACTGCCAATGCTACCTACCTCCTCTATGGACTTTCCGATGGGTGCCAATCCACCGGTCAGCAGCAGACTGTGCAGACCTTCGGGAGCAAAACTCAGATACGACAGAGAGATCCAACCACCAAAGGACTGGCCGTACAACGTCCTGATGTACAGATGTCCGTGGGAAAGAGTGAATGTAGGTAAATGACGTGCTAATGCGGAAAGGTATCAGATATTAAATAACAGTGTCAGTGGATGTGAGTAACTATAAGTAAGTAAATGACGTCCTGATGCGGAAAGGTATCAGATTTTAAAAATGTATCACTGTCAGTGGATGTGAGTAACTATAAGTAAGTACATGACGTCCTGATGCAGAAACACATCAGATGTTACGAATGTCATCACTGTCAACTGATGTGAGTGACTGTAGGTAGACGAGGCGTGGTACTTAAGCCCCTGATTAGTCCACCGTTATCCAGCATAAGCCTCTGATTAGTCCACCGTTATCCAGCATAAGCCCCTGATTAGTCCAACGGTATCCAGCATAAGGCCCAGTGCAGTCAAGTGCCTTGCAGCGGGTATCAGTCCCATGCATTGGGCGCACTACCCATGGCCGTGGTTGCTTGTCCTATAACTCGGCTGTACACATGACACACACACACACACATACCACTTCCTGTCGTCTCCAAACAACCGCCTGCGTACCACCTCACAGTCCGACACAATGTCGGTTTGTCGGAAATGCTGCACGTAGTCGGCCTGTGCCTGTGCGCTGCCCAGCGATTGTAGTACTGCGGGTGTGATGGCTGAGCTCTTCCCAGTGCCACGCTGGTCAATGAGAATCACTCGATGCGTCTTCAGGACGGTGTCAAACCACGCCTGTCCAGGGACATACAACAGGTGCGCACGAGTGAAGTGTCATGTGTCACGTGTCACGTATTGGTCAATCAGAATCATTCAGTGGGTCTTCAGGACAGTGTCAAACCACGCCTGTCCAGGGCCATGCAACAGGTGCGCATGAGTGAAGTGTCACGTGCCACGCATCGCGTATGGCATGCCGTTTGGTGAGACACAGAGCACTAGGTGTCACCCCATAGACACAGTATCATATGTGACACCAAACAGACACCATATAGTGAGTAGTGTCACGCATGCGACTGTGACCGGGTGAGCAGTCCATGTCTGCCTTGACACAATGGAGTATGGATTCGCCGTATCACAGTGTGATGTCAATCGAATGCGGCACACTAAGGGGAATATTGTTAAGCCTACCAATAAACCTACCTATAAACCTACTTATAAACCTAGCTATAACCCTACCTATATACCTACCTATAACCCTACTTATAAACCTACCTATTAACCTAATATTACCCTACCTATAAATCTACCTATAAACCTACCTATTAACCTACCTATTTCCCACCTATAACCCCACCTATAAATCTACCTATTACCCAACCTATAACCCTACCTAGTACCCTACCTATAAACCTATCTATAACCCTACCTATAAACCTACTTATACCCCTACCTATAGACCTACCTATAAACTTACCTATAAACCTGCCTATAACCCTACCTATAAACCCAGTTGATCGTGCGTTGTAGCCACGAGAAGCAAACTTTACGCGGTGGAGGGCAGGGTGTTGTCGTATTATTGCCACAAGTTTTCAATAGTAATAGTCATATGCAATAACTAAAGTCACATGCTATGAATATTCATATGATGTCATATGTAATCAATAAAGTCATGTTATTGAAAGTCATAGGTTTTTATTGAGGTCATATGTTGTTAATAGTCATATGCTATTACTAATGTCACATGTTATGAATAGAGTCGTATGTTGTCATATGTAATAATAAAGTCATATGCTAATAATAGTCATATGCTACTACTAATGTCACATGTTATAAATAGAGTCATATGTTGTCATATGTAGATAAGAAATTCATATGCTAATAATAGTCATATACTGTTACTATGTTATAAATAGAGTCATATGTTGTCATATGTAAAGTCATATGCAAATAATAGTCATATGCTAATACTAAAGGCGCATGTTATGAATAGAGTCATATGTTGTCAAGTGTAAATAATAAAGTCAAATGCTATTAATAGTCGTCTGTTATCAATAAAGTCACATGTTAATAGTAGCGTCATTTGTTATCATATGTAACACATAAAGTCGTATTTTATCCTATGCTGATATTGAAGTCATGTGTTATTTTCAGAGTCATATGTTATTAATAAAGTCATTTGTTATTAATAAAGTCATATGTAATTAATAGCCATGTGTTCCTGATAGGGTCATATGCTAATGATAAAGTCACATGTTACTACAGCCCAGATAACACATAGAGGTTGATATGTATACCGAGGAGATCTCTCCATCGCATTTTATTTTGGTGTAACAATTAACAATTGACAATTGGGAAGCAGCACCTCCGACAGACATGGGTGACCACGAGAGACGAATGTCGACTACACAGAACAGATACTAACTGCATCAATCAGATATCAGATGCATGGGGGTGTTGATATCAAATACATAGAAACGATGAAAACTGCATCAATCAGATAGCAGATGCATGGGGGTGTTGATATCAAATGCATAGAAATGATGAAAACTGCATCAACCAGATAGCAGATGCATGGATATACTGATATCAAAAATCACATAGAACAGATATCAGATACATGAACAAATATAAATACATTCGATAAATATCAAAAATATAAAACAGACATCAGATGCATGTTGGATACTCGAAGTGTCCCAGTAAAGAAACCAACCACTCGAAGTGTCAGGGCTTTTGGCTTTTGGCGTGTGTAATTTTATATACCTGTTTACGAGAAGCCGGTCGCATATTCTGGAATCCAGGGCCTCCATTGAGATAGCACAACACGGGCAAATCGGACGAGTCTTTCTCCACATCTACCATCTCTCGCGCAAATAGAGTGATCTCGGGGCCTCTATTAGGGTCTCGGTGGCATAATGGCACACGAAAGGTGTATGACCGCAGCAGCAGCCCAGGGATGGCTCGTGATATAGATCCATTCATGTTGATATGAAGTATTCTGAAGGTTTCTGTCTTGTGTGTGAAGGAATTCCTACCTTGTTACAATTGTAGTCGTTTAGGTATCATAGATGTCTCGGAGATATGAATGTTGATGTGTTTTGACTTTTGAGTCATGATGACTGTCCTTTTTTTGTAGCCTTTTTTTTAGAGTTTAGGGTTTTGCCATTTATGGGACTAATTTGTACTGCTGGTAGGATTATAGTTCATTGTTCTTGGGTCTCTTGGTTCAAACCATAATCATTTAATCCGACCAGCAGAGATATTACATTTTTTAATTACGTAGTCAGACAAAACAGTTCAAACAGCCATGAAGCCCCAAAAGACTCTGTCGAAATCTCACTACACTTTGTACGTTTTCCACAATTTTCGGCGTTTTGTACTTCTAAAACTCCGGTGTTTTGTACTCATAGTCCTGCGGACGTTTGTTCGATCCCCACTATATTTTATTTAGCTTCTTCTCTCTACTACTAAAGTGGGTCATGACTCTGATATACTTCTTCGTAAATACGTATTTACATAGTGCTAGACAGACGCAGAACTACACACAACGCAACACACACATTCAAAAGCGGACAATCATCTCTCTGTCTTCCGTTACAATAAACAGAGACCTACTGTCTGCTGTTTGGAACGATGGCCGGGTACATCAACATCGGGCTAATAGAATGATTAGATGGGTAAAACCCTTCAGTTCAATTGTGCCTCTCCGTGTGTCCTATTTGTGGTCGGTTCTCGTGTGTGCACGATTTATGTCGCATGCGTGCGTGAGAAATCAGACATGTCGAGATGAATTTGTTTGTTTTGTGATCATTTATTTGTGTACTAAATTGGATGGAATGCCGGATAGATACTATATTGTATGGTCGGCATACTGACAAGGTAGGTGATCTAGATCAGTGCGTGTGTACTCTCAAGAGTGTTTTGCTCTCGTGTGTGCATTTAGGGAATTTCTCGTATAGATGTAATTTGTTCTTTCAGCAACACCATA